ACCCCCCCATACTCCCTCCCAGCTCAGCCTCTTTCTGTAACCACCTTCCTCCATGACCCAGCTCTGCTTACCCAGGCCTGAAGCCCTTGCTTATCCTATCCCTGTCCCTCCCAGGGGCCTGGGTGCTGGGGAGGGATTAGGTAGTCCAGTGGGTTCATGTGTGTTCTCCTGGGGCCTTAGCCGGGCCCAGCTCCTGGACAGTGTCCTAGGGCTGGGAGCACTGGGGTTGACAATTCGGGCAGTCTTTTCCATGGCTGGACCAGCCTTGCTACTGCTGGTGCTACTGGTCAGCTTCCTGGCCTTCGACCTGCTCCACAGGTAAATGGGCAGCAGCCGGGCAGGTGGGCAGGTGGAGGCAAGCGAGCAAGTTGGTCAGCCTCTGGAAGCCCAGCTGCTACCCTCTCTCTCCACAGGACCGCAGGTCCCACCCAGCCACAGCACACACTTCTCACAGGAGGCCAAAGCCAGGGGGCCGGCGAGGGTCCAAGACAGCAGGAAGCTCTACTCCTGCGGACAGTGTCAGTCACGGGACGACTCAGCCTCCAGGAGACTCTGCTACTGCTGGTTCTGGGCCTGGAGCTGCTCCTGGGCCTGGAGCTGCTCCTGGGAGCCCAATGCATGCCCTTGGTCCTGCTTGGCGTGATTTTCTGCCTCCATCCTTGGGCCTGACTGCCCTCCAGAAATACACTGGCCATACAGCTCCTTCAGGACTCCTTTGCTCCATCCTGGGCTAGGCAGGTGGGAGGGTACCCCTTTGCCCCCAGCCTGAACCTCAGTGGACCTCTGGCAATGACAGAAGGTGAGATAAGGGACAGGGAGCCCAGGCAGGATGTGACAGCCATCTCAGAGCCTGAAGATTGGGGCTGGTCTTTCTGGCCTCCTCTCTGGTTCTAAAGAATGAAGGTCCAGAGAGAAAGACTTGCAAGAGAGCAGAGTGGGAATCGTTATCAGCCAGCAGGGAAAGGACAGGGATCTGAGAGGGCTTTCCACAAGAAAGCGTGAGGAACTACATCTGTGGGCTCCCACGCTCCCTTGCCAGCCTGAAGGGTCCACAGAGAGAAGCTCACACCCTGCAGTGGCTCCTTTCTTGGCGGGACCCCACCCCAGTCCGGGTCACAATGGGGCTCCTCTGGGGAGGGGGGAGGGAGAGTGAAAGAGGAGCTCAACTCTGGCTGCCAGGCCATCCTGGGTGCTGCAGGAAGCAACATGACTTAGGGACCTCTGCCCAGAGGTAAGACCTAGACCCCAGCTCAAAGTCCCACCCCACCCACAATGGTGCCCTCCTGGCCCCTGCACCCCTACCTTCCCTGAGGTGCCAGGCATCTCCAGGGCTGCTCCTGCAGCTGGCCGAGCCCTCTCCCCAGGTGCACCAGCTGTGATGCAGCAGCCTCGAGTGGAGACAGATGCCATCGGGGCCGGCGAGGGGCAGCAGCCAGGGGTGCCCTGGTCCACCTGGGTCAACCGGCAGGACTGGGTGCGCTGGTGCTCGTACCATGTGCCCCAGAGCTGGACCCAGTGGTGGGCCACGTCGACCTGGCGGCAGCCGCTGCAGCGCGTGCTGTGGAACCTGGAGGGGATCCTCTACCTGCTGCTGGCACTGATGCTGTGCCACGCCCTCTTCACCACCGGCTCCCACCTGCTGAGCTCCCTGTGGCCTGTGGTGGCCGCGGCATGGCGCCATCTGCTGCCCGCTGTCCTCCTGCTGGTGCTCAGCGCCCTGCCGGCCCTGCTCTTCACCGCCTCCTTCGTGCTGCTGTTCTCTACGCTGCTGAGCCTGGTGGGCCTCCTCACCTCCATGTCTCACCCAGGCTACGCTCAGGACTTGGACCAATAGAAGGGCAACCCATCCCGCTGCCTGTGTCTGTTGAGCCCTGGCCTAGGGCCTGAGGCCCCGGGGGAGCGGGAGGGCAGTGAGACCAGGGCCTTCCTGCTTCAGCAGGCCCAGACTTCCAGCCCCTGGCACTGGTTGTGGCATGGGTGATGTTGCTGGAGCCGGCAGGGTAGACTGGCCTGACCCTGGGCACCTCCCTCAAACCAGTGCTGCAGGTACCTGGTGTGGGAGGCCAGGGGCTTTGAGGAGAGGGGCAGGGCAAAAGGCTTAGCTAGGGGCAGAGCTTGGCCAAGCCACCAAGAGCTTCCATGTGGCTGTGGTGACACCACTTGGGGCCCCCTTAGCAACTGGCAGTATCTTTTCTTGCCGCTATCTCAGCTTCAGACTCACTGAGAACTGCTACCTGGGTACCCTTGTACTTGCCAGTTCACCCATGAACCCTCTTTCCACTTGCCCAAGCTCTAGAAAGGACCCACTGACAGAAGCCTAGCTAGAAGAGGGCTGGCCGCAAGTCCCATGAGACTTAAACTAACTCACCTCTCAGACCTGTCTGCCGGGACATTCCCCCACTCCCTGGACACCTTAGCTCCTGCCTCAGTCCACATCCCCAATGCTGGAAAATGGGCTGAAGAGGGTAGTGAGGTTCCCAGAGAGTACCCACTCTTTAAGTCTCCTGAGGTCTGTTCTGGAAAAACAAGTCCCATTTCACCCACCTGCACCATATGTGGCCTTGGCCAGTTAATTCGTCTGAGCCTGTGCTAAGCGGGTCCCAATCCTGCCATGGAGTTGAGTGAAAGGCAATACCTATATGTGAAGTACTTTGTAAAATCCAGGAAACAATAAGATCTCATATTGAACTCTTAAGAACAGTCTGTAGGCTCAAAAGATCTTTTGAGCCCTAAGGCTATAGAAAGGACAGGAAACTTCTCTAGGCCACGGGAGAAATATTCTGTTGTGGCTATAGTTCCAGTGGTAAACAGGATGGATGGGTATGGACAAGATGTAAAAATGTGTCATGAAATCTCAAAATCTGCAGATGTTGAACTCTTCTGATTGTGAAATGCTTGGGCCTGGGGTTTAGTGCCAGGAGATGCTTCCACGGCTATATGAGTGGGAAAAGCAGAGCCCGTGGTTTCAAAAATGGACCCAACTGTTCATTGCACCAGGAGGGCCTTGAAAGGTGGCATTCCCAATGCCCAGGGTGCTGGCAAATCTGATAGCCCTCCAAGCAAAACAGTGAGTGATCAACTATTAGCAAATAAAGCACGATAGACAGCTTTACCCACAGCTAAGACCCAATCACCTGACCCTCCAACTCCTGCCCAACCCTGACCTACTACCGTACACCTAACCCTAAAAGCTCTGCTCCTAAACCCCTAGACCCAAAGTCCCCTTCTCCTGCCACCTAAATACTCAAGCCCTGAGGACCAGCCCCTAGAACCCAGGTTCATTTTCACCAAAACCCACTTGCTGTGGAGTTTCATAACCCTGCATGCCGCTGGTTAGATGCCTTCAGCATCCATGCCTGAAACCCAGGCACAGTCTTTCCTTGCCATTTCCTTGTGATTCTCCCTGAAATATGGCCTGGCACAAGGGCTAGGCAGGACATGAAGGTAGTATAGCCTCGTGGTTAGCATGGGTTCTGGTGTATTTGCTGAAGCTGGGTTTGAATCCCAACATGGTCACTTTCTATCTCCATGGCCTCGGTGGAAACTGCTAAGCCTTCCTGAACTTTATTTTCCTCATGAGTAAAACAAAGGTAAGAACACCTGTCTTAGGGCTCCTGTGGGGCTCCTGGCATGTGGGTGAAGCTCCTAGACTGACTCCTAACTCCACGAACTGTAGCTATGCTGTTGCTATTCCATTTTAGAGATGAGAAGGCAGGTTCGAAATAGCCGCTTGCCCAGACCAAACACATCGGGGAACAAGAGGTGGGCAGGGGCAAGGAGAAGGCCTCTTCCTTTCCCCACATAAATACAGAGTGGGGCAAAAGTAGGGTTACAGTTGTCCATAGGGAAAATAATACAAAAATAATACAAGAGTAAACCGTTTCATGTACTCACAACTGTAAACGTATTTTGCACCACCCTGTGTGTACCTCCCACTCTCCTGCCCTGCTGGTGTGGGGTAGGTGGTACAACTAGACTGCGCAGCAGATGGGGAGTACTTATCAAATTAGATCAACACAGCCTTAGCCGATTTGGCTCCATGGTTAGAGTGTAAGCCTTCCGACTGAAGGGCCCCAGTTCAGTTCTGACCAAGGGCCCATACCTGGGTTGCAGGTTCAATCCCTGGCCCCGAGGGCTGTATGGGAGGCAACCCATCAGTGTGTGTGTCTCACATCGATGTTTCTCTCTCAAAAGCAATGGGAAAAATATCCTTGGGGGGATTTAAAAAAAAATTTAACACATACCCTGTGACCCAGCAACCCAAAATGAATTTTCACCGAGGCCCCTTCACATCTTGCTCAAAGTGTGGTCCCAGGACCAACAGTATAGACCTCAGCTGGGAGCTGGTTAGAAATGCAGAGTCTCAGGCCCCACACCAGGCCTGTGGAATTGGAGCCTGCATTTTAACAAGAGTCCCGGGTGATACACATGGACACTGTTTGAGAAGCACTGCATAAGGGGGTGTATCTGAGAGTAATGATGGTACTGTTTTGGTGGTGGCAGGAAATGAGAAAGGTGTGAGCAACAGAGAGGAGGCAGCAGTTAGAAGGGGTGGCAGCTATAGAGATTGATCTTGAAATCCTAGCTTTGAGTGAAAAACAAATAATACAATTCTTTTAATGCAAATTTAAAATGCATGCCAACAGCCTGGCCGGTGTGGTTCAGTGGTTGAGCGTCCCCCTAGGAACCAAGAGGTCACGGTTCGATTCCCGGTCAGGGCCCTTGCCTGAGTTTCCCCTCGATCCCCAGCAGGGGGCGAGCGGGAGGCCCCTGATCAATGACACTCTCATTGATGTTTCTCTCCCTCTCTCTAAAATCAATAAAAAATATATTTAAAAAAAAATAAGATGCATGCCAACAAAACACTTTGGTGGGGGTGGCAAGAAGGCCTAGAAAACAAAAACACCATGGACCGGCTGGCTCTAGGGGCAGGCAGGGGGAGGGGAGAATTCGGATAAAGCACGAAGGGAGGGAGCCTGCGGAGACTAAGAACTGGTATCAGGCACATAATTCCAGAAATCCCTTTGGGTGCAGATCAAATAACCCTGTTAGAGTTAAAAGGCTTAAAAACGCGAGCGCGGGGCGAGCGAGCTGTTGGGATGAAGGCGTCCTAGGCGTCCGGGTTTGGGCCAAGAAGGGGGGCTGAGCTGTTCCGTTGGCCTGAGCGACCTGGGCGGCTGAATGCGGAGATTCGCCTGTCCCCCCGCCCCCCAGAACCCCTCCGACAGGACAGGCTGGGGGGTGGGGTCCAGTGGCCCCCGCGGCCGGGCCGGAACAATACCGGGTAGGGCGGGGAGTGAGAGCGCGGCCGAGGCGCGGCCCGGAGGCGCCCCGCGTCCGAGAAAACAGGCTCC